TATTAATCAAAGAAAAATACATAGGAAATGTATTATCAGTTTAAACAAGAAAGAAAAGATATGAAGTTAGGCAGCCCCTCTATAGAATTGTTAGTCGCTGCATTAAACCAAGTATACAAAATCAAATAAAAAAATTCTCTAAATTGCTCTGTGTTCCGTGTTTGGTCTTCAAAGCATCAGTTATTCCTTTTCCTCCACACACACCAAACAATGCATCCCGAGATAAGATTCCATACTAGCTTGCTATTCTTATCACGAAATTTCCTCCTCCATGCCCGTAACACGTCCTCTATACGTCTTGGCAACACCCAATCTATATGTTGAGAAGCCAGAATACTGTTCCACAGCCAACGGACACCGTCACAGTGAATGAACAAATGGTCATGCGTCTCCCCATCACTCCCACACATATAGCACCACTCGGTAACATAAAAGCCTCTTTTTCGGAGATTATCCATCGTTAATATTTGTCCCCTCACAACCGTCCACAGTAAAAATGTCACCCGTGGGGGCAATTTGCAATGACACACCATCATCTAGGGGAATGAATTCTCCACAGGTCCCAAGAGAGAACTAAAATAAGAGCGAACCGAAAAAATACCATTTCGTGCCAACCTCCATCGGTTACTATCATCCTCTCCTACCCGAATTTGCACCTCATACAAATCCGTTATAAACAATGCATAGTCATCCAATTCTCAATCCTGCAGACCCCTCTGAAAAGTGATATTCCAACTGTGACTCCCATTGTGGATGGCTAAAACGTCATTCACCATAGCAGAAGGCATCATAGTAATGCGATGCAAGGAAGGGAACCCCAATTTTAACGGTATATCTCCACACTAACAATCATCCCAAAATCTGATATTATTACCATTCCCTACTACAAAAGGCAAGCTATTTCGAAAGTCATTCCATCCTCGGCGAATATACCTCCATAGACTCACCCCGTACGGTGGAATTGAACTCTGGTATAAATACAAAATCATTATTAACATAATTAATTTAACATATTCGCACTGATGCATAATAGTGATCTACGATAATTGAAATCTTTGCATCCCAACTTAGCAAATCTTGTGTCCAATTCTATAAATGAATATGCATACTCAAATAATGTTCACAAAGGGGAAAGCAAAACTGATGATAAATTCAGAATATCATTCACTAGTAAGGGAATATGTGTGTAATACTTGTGGCTCAAGCAATGCAACAAGTTGCAATTGATGTAATTCTTAGAAAATTATAAATGAATATTTACCACCAATGCTTTTTGCTGCATCCTTGAGGCTCCCGGAAAAGTATTGTTGAAGAACACTTAAAACTGACATGTTTCTCGGCTGTGCTACGTTTCTTCTCTGTCTGCCTCCTTGATTTAGCCATCCTCTACAGTAATTTTAAGCAATAATACAGCTCAATTCCGATAGCCAATGAAGACATTAGACTAAGGAGATACAGAACATATAACTTTTAAAAATGAAAAACCAGTATAAGAAAAATAAACACCCAATTAGCACAATATTCTATCAAAATATTGGAACACCAGAGCAACTATGATATTTCAGACTAGACATTCTTGTTACCTTAATTTACCATTTCGAGTTAATTTGATTAATCTTATATGAACTTATCAATTATTTGTTTGAAAGGAAAAATAAGCTCACAATGCTTTCTGTATTTAGAAATTTGGTCTAAGGGATTCTTTGAACACCTGAGTGATTATCATATATTTACCCTATGCCATCCACGTCAGTTTACCAAGCATGGTTCTTTTTTGATAATATGAAACGTCATCATGCTAATGTAAAAATCCTTGAACAAATGATCCAATATAAATGATAAAGGACAACTATGAGAGGTAACTTATCCAAAAGAAAAGGTGTGAGATTTATTAACATAAAAGTAACAAACTTAAATGTACAAGTACCTGTTTATGAGCACTGTGAGCTTCCATCTCATTGGGAGTATTTACATCAGAAACATTCAGGATATCATGATTGGAGTCTAAATTGCTATTTATAAGCGATTGCTGAGAGCTTCTCCTGGATAATGCAATTGGTGATGTGTTTTGGGCTTCCCCATCCAGTAAACCAACCTGGGAATCCTCTCCCCCAAGTAGTTGAATCTGAGACTGTCCTTAAACTTCTATAGATCCTTAGCATGGTACCTGAGAGGTTGTTTAGCAAGAGCTTTTGTTCTGTACTCCCTCTCATATGTCATATCAACAGGAAGAAAGAACTCTAGTATATAGTCAGCATCCCCAGTATATGTGCTTCTTAGCTTGATTGCAACAGCAGCATTTAGACCAAATTTGCGAGCATGATGAACAAGTGGATAGTCACTTAAATGGTATTCCTTAACATCGGGGTAAAAGAAGGGGTGATTTGATTGAAGAGCTTTCCCAGCAATACCTTGTCCTTCCTCAAAGATAATGCTCTGCACATTCATGCACAAATCCGTTCTTGCCATTGTCATTCACATAACAAGCAGTCTTCTCAATGCGTAGTACACATCTTTCGTCATAATACGAATTACATCCCCGACTGCTTATTTTTATAGTATAGTCTCCAACCCCCGCTGTGTAACTGCAAGGAATCCATGTGAGTGCAACAGGTAACCTATGTGCATGGCAAACAGCTCTTAAAACATCTGTGATCTCAGCTAAAGCTGCCCTTTGATTCTGTGTGAGGCACTGAAAATTAACATATGGTTTAAACAAGGGATTATACATGCATTCATGAAAACAAATTGCAGTTGTTCTTATTTATAAACGATATAAGAAGATCAAACCAAAAGTTCAATCAGACCTGGTTTCACGGACCGCAGGTTTGGCTCCCGAGGTACTATGCCTCAAGCCCGCCTTCCCCTCATTCTTAGGCCGGCAAGCCCGAACAACTGGCATACACGCACACTATGAGTAGGATGTTAGGGAGAATACTTGCATATGATCATATCATTAGTGATCTCTTTGGTAAAATAGGCCTCACACCTAGCTGTCAGCATGCTTGCCGTGCCGAATGGGGAGATAAGCATTCTCACTGCGTAACACCTGGGAATGAAGTCTAGGTGGTACAGTGCTCCTTAGCTTCACTGCCTGAACATGTTTAGAGCCGAAGGCTAGAAAGAGCAACTAACAAGTCTGCAAATATTGTTTTCATTAGTGTGCAAACAACTCTTATGCCAACAATTTCTTGGTGGGGGTTAGAGGTGGGGTCAAACAAATGCTACCATCACTTTTGTGAACACTAAACAGACATAAAAAAAACAACTGATGATCTATTTAACATGCCCCTGAAAACATGTAGCAAAACTTTACACAGCAATATCACTAAAGAATTACTTTTAAGAAAGAATTAAGAAAAACGAAAAACAACTATAAATTAAGAAAACTAACCTGGATGGCACTACAAACATTTTCCATCTCTGAATCAAAATTGGGTTTCTCCTTCATTGTAACCAGTTCAAGCACTGCACAACATGACGCTTCATGCGAATCATCCTCAAACACGGGCAGAGCAATAGATCCACGGACTTCATGATGAATTGCATGTTGTACCTGCAAGTACTCAGCCTTATTGTAGTACATCACATTTGAAGTCCATTCTGGAATCTTCGAGGTAAATACACGGTCAGGAAGCCCTGGGAAAGAACCTGGTTTTGATTCTGTTGCAAAAGTAAATAATCTGGACACTTCACGATATCCAGAGAGAGTTTGGTCAAGTAGCTGCAGTTCGTTGGTTCAAGCTCTTATCTCGATTATTAGTCACATTGACCCCATAATCTGTAGAATCCATAGGAAAACACAATTGGCTGTCCATTTGCTGAAACATCATTTTAACTCCCTCACTGAACGTAGTTTCAATCATATCACCTTCTGCCATGGAAACTCCTAAACTATAGTTTTCTATAAAGTTCAATCCATCAAAGGGTGAGAAATTTGTAGATGTTGAACTCATAGGTGACATGGCAAAAGAGGGAAACATGCGATCCCTTGCATTACTGGGGTTGTTGCACCATCCAGCATATCTTGTTTTGAACCGCCTCGATCCCCAGATTCCAGCTACAACAACTCGCAAAAGAACCGACAATGGTTCCTCCACATCTGCAGTCGACTTTGATTAATGCCCCGTCATCTCACATGGAAATTCCACCTCCTTATTCAAGACCTCAACATGTGCTAAACCATCTCTACATGCACAAGGATAGGAGCAGCCCATCATTGATTGCGCTTGGTTCGACTAATAGGTTCCATTCCAAATATGTGACAGTGTTGCTTTACAAATCCATACAGAGGTGAAATTCCATATGATGGACAGCAATTTATTGTCCTTCTCCGTAACTTGATATAATTTTCAGAAGTAGATGTCAGGACCATTCCTTGAATTAGCCGTGTAAAAAGCCATACAGGGAGCTTTAAAGTGTAGTTGACATGAAAGTGCTTTGGAATTTATCCCTCAAAGTTTCTATTTCTGTTCATCATCATCTTTCTCATTTAGTCTGCAAATCCCACCTCAGCTTTCGATGTCTTTGCTCAGACATTTAAATTGGAACCCTATTGATACTTATCACGAATCAGATTCAGCATCACTTTTTGATGTGGATACGCGTAGTCCATATAGTACTTAGGAGGCGGCCAGTATTCGCTTTTCTTGATGTCAGTTTTCATATCATCTTCTTCCTTAGATTCTTCCCCCTCTTTCTTTCCTTCTTGTTTTTCTTCCTTTTTCTCCAAGACTTTCTTCTCTTCTTCCTTCTTTTCTCCCCATTTCGTTCACAAGCTTATCGGGATCAAGAATGCCTTTCACAATTACAATCGAACTTTCAACACAACTGTTACAACAGCAGGAGGCTGCCAAATGGGGAAAAAGCAACATTAGTTTAATGTAATTCTATTGTAAAATAATTGAATTTGATGATTCCAATGCTCGTCTATTACTCGTGGAAATGCGCATAATAATTTCTATGGTAGCACGAAATGGGAGCAGCCTAAAACGTGAAAACGGGGTCGTGGGTAAGCAATACATGCATCGTGCTGCTATGTCATATTGCCTTGTATTCCACCAATTAGTAACCCAAAATTCCACACCATTCATAAATAGACGTTTATACATGCAAATCTAAGTAAAACTAACTAGAAAATCATTTTCAATTTCATAATTTCCGGCACTAATGAAATTTGTTATATCTTCTTGATTGGTACCTCGCACTTTTTGGCTACACCTACCTATTTCACAGCCATGAATCTATTACAGTAAATCTCAATGAAAACATGGAGACAAAAATAATAAAGAACATAGACAATACAATTCATATGGTTGATGGTTCAGTCATTTGGCCCCATGTAAAAAAAAGTAAAAAAGGCAAAGCAGCCAAAACTTGGCTGATCCTACAAAAAATAAACACTCACCCATTATTTGGGTGTTCGAAATGCCCAACCTTCAGTCAAAATCTAGCTCAGTTCTATAAATATGTGTTGGGCAGACTTCAAATGCCACCAAATCAAACCATTAAAAGTTAAATACATGTATCAAAGATAAGTAACTTGCCATAAGATTTATCAGATATGCACAACAAGACAATAAACATTTTATATACAAAACAACTAAAAGCCAGCAAGAGATTTGTTGAGGATTAAATCATCTCCTAACTATATAATCCTAAGGGCAACCTCCTATTTTATCAGAACACTGGCTTGCCAGTAACTACAAATACAGTGCAGTAACAAGACTATTGCAATTCTTGAGGACAGAAAAGCAGAATACGAACTCTATTTGTTAATAATTTACAAGCATCAGTTTGGATTAAGCTTCCAGAATCAGAACATGATACACATATCACTATTTCATCGCTACATAGCTTAGGTTAGCAAATTAAAATCAACCCCAATCTTCAGTTCAAACTTTCAACCCAAACAAGTTACAACACTTTTACAGCATATATGGCTGGAGTGGAGAAAAGCCTAAAAAAATATAGAAATTCATACCGTCATCTGTAATGACCCGGTTCCGGAGATGGAGAATACGGCTGGAGTGGAGAAGATGGACGAAACACGCGACTTCGTCAGAAATTTCTGCCTAACCTCGCCGTCCAATTTCTACCTCTGTATATGGAGAATATGAAGAATATGCCGCCTAATTTCTGCCTCTGTATTATGTCATTTTACAAGCAATGGGTTATGCTTTGTTCAAATCTCTGTTTTGAGTAATTTCCATCTTTGGGAGGAAATGGGTTGGATGAGGAGATTGATTTGGGGGAAATGGCGAGAGAGAAAATGATTTCTAATTTTTAGCAGACATTCAGTTTTTAGGATCGCGCTACGGTAACCGAATTGGGTGACAGAATGGCTGACCTGCTGACATGGTAAATGGTACTGCCGTCCATTTATATGCTTGTTAAAGTTGCGTCCATGTACGGGCAACGAATTTCTGCTTAGATCCAAACACAAGGAAGTGAATATAGACATCTACTTACATGCATTACCTAGTCCCTTTTTATCATTATTCCCTTGTCTATGAGCCCAGGCAAGATGAGAAAAACCAGAAACTTGAGTAGCCAACTTATTCAAAAATGATTTTCGGTCACTTTAGCATTTTCCTTCAAAAATTGAACAAGCAGCATATGGTGTGTAGACTGAGATATAAAAGGATGCAGATTAGGCAAACATGTGTCCCCAGCACGCTGCAAGAAATGTCCCAAAACTAAAATTTATACATATTTTGCATGATACACCTAATAATGTTGAATATTTGGATCTTTTCGAACATTGTAAATGTAGTCAAACACAAATCTTGGTAAATACAATAATACCACCTTAATTCTAAAAATAAAACACATTCCACCACAGTATCAAATTTCATTCCCTAATATGGGACATCATTTTCCCGTGTCCTGTCTTCTTTAAAGGACAAAAAATGACCCCGACGGCTCTCCCACATCATATTGCACACCTCGCTCTACCACGTTCATTCTCCATCGCCCAATAATTTTGTATTACTAACAACATTGGACTCCATCAACATAACGGCTTCGACGTAGTCCGACATTTCCTTCCCTGCAATCATGAAATTTAGTGTAATGTGAGGAGCAAACCATGTAATCACTGTGCATATTAATACTAGTGCAAACGACCATTTTGCTTACTGCTTCATACAAGAGATTACATTTACTAAACTATCCGATATTAACACCAAAAACATTAGGAACCAGAAAAAGAAAAACACATACAAATAAACGCAGGAAATTAATTAAATACCAATACCATCTAACAGTACTAATAGTCATCATTTTACCTTGCGATTAAAAAATAAAAAATATTTTTTCAAAGTAAAATTCAGATTTGAAAACAAATTACTGATATTATGAAAACAAATTTCAGATTACCCAAACACCATTTCACATTTCTGCAGCCATATGATTCATAAGTTTTTGTAAAAATCTTACAGACTACAGATCACAAAAAACCGAATGTGAACAATATTAGACGATGAATATAAACGAGTAACATCTGTATCTCCAAAAAATTTTTGGGTAGCTGCAATCACATCATCTTTAACGATATCCCAACATTTCATAAACAATCGAAGTCAAAACCCATCCGGCATAGTGGAGCTATGTATGGGAATTGCAAACACAATTTCTGGTTTTACCTTTTCCTGTCATCTTCAACCCAACAAGCTATGGTGGGCGGAGATTGAATCAATCGACGAAAGCGACGATCGACAAATGGTCCGAGATATCGACGGTGCGGCGAAAGCCCAAACGAACAGAGACTTCGGAGGTGGCCGGAGACGAAGTGCAGATGCAGAGTGTTAGCTAAAAAGTGCAGATGTGAAGTGGGAAAAAAATGGAGGAAAAAAATTTGGCGGAAAGAATGGCGCCTTTACGACATTAGGCTAATGGGGGAAAGAGGGCAAATCAGCACTGTTTGGTTTTCATTGCTTTTTAAAGAATTTGAATTTTAAATAATTATTAAGAATATCTGAACCCTTATTCCACGTCTTTTTCCTTTTTTCTAACCCCCCATTTTCCACTTCATTCAGTCACCACTTCTGTCAACCCTTATGTTGGAGTAGCATAATTCCAGGGAAAATGATAAGTGTACATAATTTTCCTACATAAAGCCCAGGGAGGCCTAATTTATGCTACATGTACAAAGTTGGGTTACAAAGTTGGTTGACAAAATAACATCTACACCAATCATTTTAAAAACAGATTTTTAAATCATTTGAAATCAACGGTCTGAATTTTGTCAACACACTTTGTAACCCAACTTTTGTAACTTAACTTTGTACAAATAGCTTTATTGAAGCCGCCACCGTACCCGTCACTTTGTCAACCGCTTTTGTCAAGAGACTTGATACAAATAGCATTATTGTGTAAAATAATTAGGATTATTCTACACCACCATAAGGGGGCACATAGGGGTGTCTATCCAATAGGGGGCATGTAAAGGATTATGTTTGTGTAGCATAATCCAAATAATTAATACTTGATTGACATAAAAGTTTGTGTCAAAGTGTCAACGAATGACCATCGACACAACTACTTATGTTAATAGATAAGAAAACCCCGTGGTATTTTAACAACTTTGTTGTGATACACAAAATCATGATTACATACATTAACCAACAATTTATTTATTATCTGAAAATTAACTGCATTAAGGAAAAAAAAAGTCATACTTTGAAAATATAGCTCATTCAAAGCAAATGGTGAGATAAATGAAAGTACATGGATTATAAATCAGAAATAACATATAATAATTTAATGTCCGTGTACAAAAGCATTGGCCTCAAGCGCGATAAAATTTAAACACTGTCTGCTCAACTAATACAAGTGCTAGTGTTTTCAATTTTCTTTAAGGAATTGGGAAAAACCAACGAAGACCTCCTTTTTACAAAAAATAAAAATTAAAAATTAAGAAGAGGTGTTTTAACAATTAGTGTTAGTGAAGGAAGTTTTAGAGTTAAAAAAACTAAATGGACATTGAATATTACATAATCTTTTTCATTGATTTTTAAAATTTGAAAGTTTCGAAATATTACTGAACTTATCAAATTATTATCTATTGACCATTAAACTTTAACAGTTTTTCAAATGATCATCAAACTTATCAAAACGTTATTCAAATGACAATTAAATTTTAAAAAAACTTCGAATGATCACCAAACTTATCAAATTAGATGGCCAATTCATCATTTGATTACCTCCTTAAAAAATA